TTTTTTTTCTTTGATTTCTATTTGCTATTTATTATTAATATATCATGCGATGCAGTTAAGTCTGCACTTTTGCACTGTATGCTTGTGATCGAAAAAATACCTATAATTGCCTAAAGTAAGAAATACAAAAAGAATAAATTCAATCGAGATGCACTGTATTTCATTTAAAACCAATATTTTAAGACATCAAAAATCATTGATTAATCCCATATATTATATGTTCCAAAATATATTATTCATAATTCTTGACTGTTTGTTATTCTTACAGCAAAATCAATGGGACTGATTTTTTTAAGACATGGTCTATCTGGTTGGTATGTTGGTGATAAAATAAATGGCATAACTAAAAGTCAATCATAACTTGTCTCTTGATCTATCATTGGTAATGCATCTAATTATATAGGTTTTTAAACAAATGATAAAACAAGTTAAATATTTGAAAAATCTATTACGGAATGTGCTGTTCGAGACATTCGAATGCAAGTTAAATTAGAATTTAATAACGAATACATAGTATGAAAATTTCGAGCAACTGTTATGGGTACTGTTTCATCCATGTCATTTTATTTACAAAAATCGATTTCCTTTGTATTTAATATATATCGGACATCAAGTGCATTGCCATAGATGTATTTTCCGATATACTTCTAATATATTTACAAGAAATTTGTACATCGTTATGATCTCGTATAGACCATACTTCAGTAAAATCATCATTTAATGCAATCTTAATTACAAAGTAAACAAGTTTACTTTTTAAATTATGAATAGAAAAGCTGTTAGCAAAATCTCTGAGGAATTAAAATATAAACACAATCTAGCTGTTGTTGCTAATGACTGAGAAGATTGTTTTATTCTATATATCTTGAGACCTATGCTTTCACGCTTCTTTTACTTAATCTTCCCTATATGCAACAAAGAAGTAGTTAATATATTTAATGAGTCGTTATCGATATACGGTCTGTACTGATCTCTAACTAGCATTTATCATGGTTTGTGAAGAGGGAATTGTGGTGTAAATTTGTATTCTATATACTTCAACACGCCGTTAGATCATGTTTTGCAAAAAAGACTTGCTAATATAGAATATTCAGGTGAATTTTATGGATGTAATGATCATGTTTGGCATGGAAAATGTTATAAACTCATTTTATCTTGTGAATTACATCGATTTATTTGATAAATTAATGATGTTATTAATTGCGTGACAAGCAAAAAAACACAAGTATGACATCTTATGGAAAAAACAATCAAACTATCATGTTTTTTAAAGCTTCAATTTTTTTCTTATTCTCAATTTTATACCAATTTCAATACTAGTTGTATTTCACAATAAAAGGCCAGATAAATTTCCTTGAATTTCTTCATTAATTGTATAAGTATAAGCAGCATGTAATGGGTTTTGACTTTCACATTAATTTGTACAACCGTCTTCGTCTTGAGAACATCTTAAAAAAAAATCTAAGGACATGTAATGAATATACGCGTATCACACTTGACAAGGTCAATAATATCTGTTGGTACAACAGAGTCAAGTATAACACCACCAATGTGTTTTCCATTTTCTATTAAATGAAGATATCGTTGTAAAAATAGATTCCTTGACTTGAACCCATTAATAGAACACATGGATTTGATTTTAAGTATTGACAATTAGCAACAACTTTTAATACATATTGAACATAACGTACCATATTTGTAAATGTATTATGTTTTAAAAGATCTTCATGTTCAGTTATATATGATAAACAAAATGAAAAATTTTAAAATATTGATATTGGACAATTTAATAAATCACTTTTATCCAAAGCATATTTTGATGTAGCACTATTATATTTAAAAACAATACAAATAACTTCTGATTTTAAAGTTGATATTGATATATCACCATCTCGTATATATTAGATAGACAAAGATATATGATAAATTCAAACATAAGGTATTACCTGCTATTCGTCATAATTGAGAGTATGGATTTTCACTTCCATTGATGAAATATTGCTTGATAAACACCTTTATTATTTCTGTACAAATCATTCACTTTTTAGTTATATTCAAATCAATAAGTACATTAACAAACATATATTGAGCATGAACATTATTGAAAGCTTCACACTAAACACTTATAAATAGAATTGATATAAATCTTTGATTTATACGAGTAAAACATACCCCATTTTATAGAATCAGACAATTGAACCAATGTAGTTGAACGATTGGAAAGTTCAAACGTGACAAACAATCTTTTGATGTAACAATAATCCAAATAATAAATAGCAGAAAAACTACGCAACTCACAATAGTACAATGCATTGTCAATTTTTTTGTGTACATTGAAAAAAAGCAAAATAAATAGCTATTGAGTAAAAAAAACATTCTATAATGCCATCCAAAACGATTAGTACATTTAAGAAAGCAAATACTTACTGAATGAAACCGATCAAAATACAAGGGGAATAAATAAAAATGCTCTTTTATTTTGTTGATATCATATGTTATTTTAGTGGCTTATGTTGGTGATTTCTTATGCATCATCATGAACACATTAACACCGTTTTTTTTAATTTTTGTTTTTCAAAATATAAGAAGAAAAAACTTTAACCATTAAATATTCAATTAATATGTGAAAGGATAGTTCACAAATTACAATTTCTCCAAAAAATGTCAACGATGCTGCTCATTGAATGTAATGGTTAAGTCGATTTATATATGACTTTAATATAAAATCATTTACATGTGTCTCAAAATATATTGATCATGAATAAAGTCAATTTTTCAAACTACTAGCTTAATTATTAATCCTTTCAAAACATATCGTCTCTCAGACTATTAATCACATTTCGCTTTTTTTAATTTTCCATTCAACATTATGCTATTCTTGTTTTTATCTATCTGTAATCTTCATCTCAATCTTTATTTTGACATTACTTGGCTTCTGTTTTGTATTTAATATAATTATTTTCAATAGCAATTTTTTCAATATGTATCGTATATGTATACTTTCGATGATATTATTTATTATTGTTCAATTCTTTATTTTTGTTCCTAGTCCATGTCCTTCTAATTTCTTGGTGCAAAAATGTTACAAATCAATGGTATGCGAACATATTAAAAATTCATTATGGGATTTACATTCTATTTTTATGAAACTTAGTATTGTCTCAGCAACAAATAATCCATTACATAATCTTACGAATTTTAATGATTTTCTTTTACATATACACAGAGTAATCATCTATCAGAAAATATTTTTGGAAATATTACTTTTTTGAATATTTTATTATATTATATTTCAATTGTTAAAGTCAGTTGAAGTTAATGCATTGAATAATACACACAATTATGTTAAAGTATTTAGAACTTTAAATACACGTTTATCAGACAGTAATACATTATTTACCGTAATACAAAAATTTCACAATTAAAAATTTGTTAGTATGGGAAATGACTAACTATAGTCTATGCCAAATTATGCATTCAATCATACTGAATTTCGATATGTATATCATTATGTGGTCATTTTAGACAAACATTACAACCACTCAATCGCATTAGTAAATATTTATTTTATTATGTACTAAATTTGGCATCATTGCGAATTATTTTACCTTTTAGTAACAAAAATTGGCGAACATTCATTAGCGATAAATAGACGATCAACATCAATCGTTGATGATTTTTGATATGTTATATATTGATATTAATAGTTCAATGTGAAATGTTTCTAGTTTCGAACAAACATCACTTACTCGTTTTCGCAATCGACCAGGCTTTTTACGTCTTTAAGACATAAGTTTTGATTATTATAGATAACAAAAATATTTCAACCTTTTCTTGAAACACATTCATCATCATTGTTAGGTGTTCAAGATTTAAATATTAGTCGAACATATGACTATAGGTCGTTGTGAATTAAAGATGAATATTGTACGAATATCACTTGGCGTGAAAATCGAGTATATGAAACTGCATGTTGTTTCTTGTAAATTGTTAAATAAACAATTGAACTTGTTCGCTGCTTTTATAATTATAAACATTGAATATAGAGTTCTGATAATCATCCTAGTAATAAAACTGAGATGGGTCGAGAAAACATACACACAAAACGAGAGATGAAGATTTCAGAACAAAACGAGCCTTGTCAAGCTCATGACGCCCACACCCATATCTTTCGTACTTAATAAAAGAATGAAACAGGTCGGAATTTCTTATGTCTGATTGTTTCATCTTAAGTATGAAAACATATTTTGATTAAAAGTCAAGTATTTACAAGAGAAACTTTTCTTCGTCATTATTAACTTTCTTCTTTTTTATTTACTTATAAGTACTACTTTGTCTTGCCATCGGCAATGAAAATTTTGCTGTTTTATTTTGATTGGCTTCTCAATGATTGAGAATAAATCGAATATGTAAAATTCTTCCGTTTTTCCTTGGTATTGTTCTTCTAAGTCATATAAGTAATAGTTCGACTTAGATATTATTCACGTTCTAATTAATTTTAGACTCTCAATTTAATCTACTTAATTTTGTCATTTATACACCCACACCCTAATTTTGAAAAATGATGAATAGTATTATTTGTGAGTTGATTGATATAGAATAGTGCGTAATCTCTGCTGTAAATATCATGGATATGTAAAACAGAAACGAGCCAAGAGCAACAATGCAAATAAAAGAGAAATGTCCATAAAAAAAATACAAATTTTCTGTTCGAAATGCAGAAATTAAAGAGATGCTTCTTCTGATATTCCACTATCTTGCAACACTATAATAGTCTACAATGGGTTTTTCAGTTTACATATTTTGTAATAGTTTAATGAGGCCCGAGAACATATGTGAGTTCCACATTTTAGTCCTAAAAGAACTGCTCCAACACGCTTTTCCAATTTTTTTGAGGAAGGATCGAAAAAAATTTTATGTTGAATGCACAAAACGTGGCAACGTTTTACTCAGGACCTCATGTTGATTCTAATCTGCTATGAAATTTTCATATTTGGTTTGAGTGGGAAAATTAGTTAACCATCCCTTGATCTTTTGTGCTTGATAAGATAGTCAAAGAATCAAGCTTCTGTATATCGTTTACCTTGATAGAATGGAACATATTTGCCTCATTCCGTGTACAATCATACAGTGACTAACACAACTCTATACAGAAAATCTTTTCAAGAAGTTGTAATTTATTAAAATTTATTTTGAATGACTGAATAATCGTGTTACAGACAGACAAAAAGATTTAACTGCCGCTTCTAGAACATAACCTTTCAGTCTCGAAAACAAATTTAATGTAAGACATCGCTTCTAAAACTTGATATCAATCCAACAGGTTTACGCTTTTAATATCTTTGATATTGGATTTCGAAGTTTTACGACCGAAATAGGCCCTGATGCTGGAATATCACTACCGAATTGTTGTCTATCTTGCATGGCAATATGATGTGGATCTGCAGCATACACTATAAGTGAACCATTGCCTATATATGGAAGCCAAAACGCATCAGCCACTTGCCCTATTTCTGTGTTAGACCAGTTAATTAATTTTTTAGCCACTGTCGAATTACGAACCATATAGGCGAAAGCACAGTAAAAAAACAATGCTTTGCAAATATTTGGATGAACGCGTTTACACTGCATGTTAGCGTGACCCAAAAGAAATACTTCCCAGTCATCTGGAAGTGAACTCAATGCTTCTTTAAGGAGAGACGGTGCATCAGCTTCCAGATCAAAATCATCTTCGAATACAAGAACAGGTCGATCCTTTGCTGAGACTTCTTTGATTATTTTAAAATAGACTTGTAAGTGACTTTGCCAAGTTGCTATCTGCCCAGAGACGATAGTTGTATTGGACATATTTTTAATAAATTTGGTTTCTGAATCGAATCTATCCCTTTGTTCAAGCAATTTTCCGCCATCAATAGCCGGAAATCTTGTAAATGGAAGCTTGAGATATTCAAACAGTTTCGATACATGAGCAAGCCTATCTTTTCTAATATCACGGTTGATAACGAACACTTTGGCAATTCCTATTTCTTCCAATGTTAACAATTTCTGGGACTTATAGTTTGCATTAGACGTTGTTTGGGTATGTATCCTTGTTCTTTGTGTCGTAACAGTATCAACACTAGGAGCACGTTTCTTACTGGTTGCATCGAGTCCCACAACAACACAACAGTAAACACAACTATGGCTAAATTTGTTATCATGTATTTCAAATATTTTTTGTCCATTTACCGAAGACGAACATTCATTTAAACCAAAAGATGTGTGACTTTTCAATCCATCTTTAAGATAACAAGAGCCATGGACATGAGGATCATCTGGATAAAGAATTGTTATGTTCAAAAGTATGGTTCTATCACAAGATCTCGCTCCCTTACGCCAGATCAATATGAAATACATATTAACCAACATACATAGAAATAAAACAAAGTAAAATTGATTTGAAGATGTTCTCCGAAGCTGGAATACGTATTTGAGGCACGTAGATACTAAATTAGCCATTGGAGAATTGTTCACTTATTAACTTGACTTGTGTTGCACGTCTACAATAAGAGACAAAGTTTAATGCTTTATCCTACCACTATAGTGTCTAGCATCCATGTAAGAGTGGATGGTGAGTGTGGGTTATGTCTTAATCAACACTCACACCTCTCACATCCAAACGTGCCCATACCCACACGTACATCTTCATATTATTTAAATAATAAAGAGAAATTAAAAAGTAAAGGAAGATTTCTTTCTATAGGAATCAAATAGACAACTAACAAGCATATCAACAGAATATGTTGATCAATATTCTTCCTTATTACTAACAACACTTCGACATGTAATGCTGCTAAATATGCCGATGATAATGTAAACGATATATACAAAAAGATTGCACTATTTCTTGTTTTTATACATGATACTAAAAGTTTTTTGGAAGCTACCTCAAAACAATGTAAGACAAGGTGTTCATAGAACAATCTTTCTTTATTATTTAGTGTATCTCTATTTTGTGAACATTCATATTGTGAAACTTACATTTATTTTCGAAGAAAACAGTAAATGGAAGTCTGAAGTCGACGTTTCGTGCGTTCTCGCTCATCAGAGAGACTCCAACAACCGTGGAAAACAAGCTTCAGACTACATTTCTAGAGTTCCTTAGCAATGGAAGGAAAGATGAACGATATCACAAATAAAACTTCGACTGTTCTAAAACATCTCAAAGCTTCTTCGACCTTTGAGCTGCTCTAATATATTTTTTCGTAAGTTAATTTGCCAGTCATCAAAAGATCAACATGAAGTATCTTGATGGATTAATTCATCAATTTGGAAAATATTATTATCAAAGATTGTGAACTTATCGAGATAAATATGGTAGGATGTCGATGAATGCTTATGTAGATATAATGAATCTTTACAAATGGTTTATTCATCAATCAATTCAACGTTCAGAATAACAACAGTTTTAAAATAAGTTAAACGAAATGGGTAAAAGAATAAAAACAAGCAAATAGCTATCAATTGAACATGGAAAAGAAAAGAACACCAGTATGTAAAAAGAAAAAATTCGATTTGAAATGAAGAAAAAAAATAAGATATATCGACTGCCAGAAGATCGATTACCTTAAAAAACAATTATACTCTGCTAAAGATATTTCAACTAATCAACATTCTATTCTTATATTGAAACTAAAGAACATCTGTGTTCCACATTTTCACCCTAAGAGAGCTATGCTAATAAGTCTTTGTTTTTACTTATGCTTGCTCTTTGTTATTATCAACAATAAGATAAACTAACACTCTCAATCTCAATACGAGATCCTTTATCAAGTATTGATTAATCAGATTAAATCTTTTTCTTATTTAGATTTATTCAACGAACACACCTTATAGTGACAATACATTTAGAAAATCGTTTTTTCAGAAACCCTTCTAAATGGGCTTATGAGAGGGATTCTGAAAATTGTCACACACAGTAGAAAGGGTATATTATACGTTGAATTTTCATAACCTCTTTACGAGTTTATGATTCTATCTTTTTTTTACAGTGTAGTCTGATCGGTAAATGCTCTTTCGGCTAGCAAATACCGGTCTAAATGTAGACTAACCGACCTCAAAACTGCACCACTATTGGCTCCATCTTTGACCGAAGCGAAACTCTTCCAAAAACAAGTATATTATGGCATGTAACGACGGCAGCAATATTCCAACATGATACGCATTTCCATCTGTTATGCTTCCGCGTCAACAACAACATATCATCACAGCCATATGATGCTCACTAAAATATGTTCTAAACTAATCGTTCTAGAGTAGTGGCCACAAAAACAATTTTGAGACCATAGCAGTTGTATCGGATTGACACTTTGGTAGGTATTATGTGAAACATAGTGAATTCAAAATTCACCAATACCGTACTAATCTCCGATGGCTATAGTGATAA